GAGGCTGCAGATGATCAGAGAGCAGGGGCTGCAGATGATCAGAGGGTGGAGGCTGCAGATGATCAGAGAGCAGGGGCTGCAGATGATCAGGTGGCTGAGGCGGCAGATAATCAGAGGATACAGGCTGTAGAAAATCAGAGGGCAGAGGTTGAGGATAATCCAGGGGCAGAAGCCATAGCTGTCCAGAGGGCAGAGGCTGCAAATAATCAGAGGGAAGGGGCTGCAGATAATCAAAGGGCAGAGGCCCAAGCTGTCCAGGGGGCTGAGGCTGCATCTGATGGGGCAGAAGCCACAGCTGACCAGAGGGCAGAAGCTGTACAGAACCAAAGGGCTGAAGCCCCAGCTGCTCGGGGGGCCATAGGGACAACTCAGGGAGCTAAGCCCCGGAAACAGGTCAAGACAGTGAGGTTCCAGACTCCTGGCCGTTTTTCATGGTTTCGCAAGCGCCGGAGAGCCTTCTGGCACACTCCCCGGTTGCCAACCCTGCCCAAGAGAGTTCCCAGGGCAGGCGAGGCCAGGAGCCTTAGGGTGTTGAGGGCAGAGGCCAGAGCAGAAGCAGAGCAGGGAGAATGGGAAGACCAGTTGTGAGGTGAAGATAGGGGTGCCCTGAAACTCACGGCTTCCTGCCGCCATACTTGAAAATGGAGGTGGACAAGGGCCGGGCAGCGGGCCTCCCATCTCCACCCAGCACCCCTCTGTCTTGTTAAAAGTTTATCTTTCATGTATTAATTAAAAAAAAAAAAAAACAGATTCCTTCTAGTCACCCAAGGAACGTAAAGAAAGACAACCATACAAAGGGGTCGCATCGCTCATGATCTTAACTTCTACAATGCAATTCTAGGTGCTCGGCTTGAAGCGGGGGAAGCAGCAGAGATACTCCCTCCCCCTCTCCTCTCCCTTTCTCTTCTTTTCTACTGTCCCTTTAACATTGTCAGCATCCTTGAACTTAAAAAAAGGGCGCAAGCCCACATGCAAATAAAAATGTTTACCACGGGATTTCCTGGCTTTGGATTGGGCAACTGAAGAATGCTCCAGGGTTGTGTCCTCACTCCCTTGTGTACCCTATGCTCCCGCCCTCCAGGATGGTGCCCTGTGTTTATGTCACTTTGCTTGCCATCCCCATGCCCCTGGCTCCTGGCCCAGGGCCCAGACCTTACATACTTCCCCCAACCTTGGTTACAAGGGACAGAAGAATCATCTGGGAAATGTGGCCAAATTTCAGATTCTGGGGTCCTTCATGCCAGAGCTGTGGATTTGCTCCAGCTGCCTGTGTGGCCCCAGATTCTGTTTCGATCAAGCCCCCAGAACATCTCTTGGGGCAGATTGGTCCCTGGGCACATTGAAAACTCGTTGCAATAGAGACGGGCCAAAAAACCAGATCGCGGTGTGATGTGTAGTGAGCCATGGCTGGCACTTATGATGGGGGACAGATTGGGTGGCTAAGTCCCGTGGGCACTGGGGAACCTCTCTGTATTGTCTTGTGTCCCCCAAATCCCAGCCCCACCCGCAAAAAGTGGCACATGGCTATATCCCAGCCTCACTGAGGGAGGGAGGGAAGGAAGTCATGGAGGAGGGAAGCCTGGAGGCCACAACTTTCTTGGCTTCAACTGCAGTTCCCGCCTGGGTTTTTTTCTTAGTTTTTGCCTCTAGAACTAAAGAATCACCTGCCCTCACCTGCTCCTGGTCTGGAAGTAGTAGCTGCTGGTGCTCCTTCCATAGGATGCTAAGAGTTCCTTTCAACTTGTACGGTTCACAGTCCCTAGCCCAGCAAGGACAAGCCCCAGTGGGGTTAGAGGAAAGACAGGGTGTGGACCCCACCTGAAGGAATGGACTTACCGGGGCCCAGGGAATAACCAGGCCAGATGGGGCCGTGTCTGGAATGCCCAGTGAATGATCTGGATGCCAGGTCTGGGGTAGAAGTGGGTAGACTGCTGCCCATCTGGGAGAGTACCAGCCACATGTCCAGGAGGGCCTAGTCTGTTTGGGGTCCTAGTAGGGGAAAGAAGGTGGGAGCGGAGATAGTGAGACACACCAGGAGGAGACTCCTGAGATTAGGGACAAATCCATCCCAGCGGCCCGGGTGTGAGCATCCAGATTTCATGTAGCCTCCAAAGGGCATAGTCCCCAAAGGCAGTCCATGGATGCTTCCAGGCTTGCGGTTTCAAACATGCCAGGATTTTCATGGGGGGGGGAGCACCAGAAAACTGGAGGACACCCTAAATGTGGACACCCTTAAATGTCCCCAAAGAGAAAAATAACGGAACACAGACATTAAGGTGCCACTCTGCAATACCAGGGACTTTCTGGGCCCCTCATGCTGGTGTGCCTTGGCAGGAGGAAACCACTAGGGGGCAGACAAGGGGGGATTTGATGCCCGGCTCACGCCTAGCCCTGCCCCTTCCAAGCTGTGTGACCTTGGGCTGGTTACCTTGTGCCTCTTTGTGCCTCTACTTACTCATCTTAAAGGCGGATCATTACAGAGCTTTCCTCCCAGGACCGCGGAGAGGATGGAAGAAGACGTAATGTGTTGGAGGTAAATCAGCCCACACAGACCTCATCTCTCCTCGTCCTACTCCCGTTGTACGTCAGAGGCGGCCAGAACTTCCCGGGACATCTCAGCCCTGATGGGGGGGCCCCCGGGACAGGGGTTGCCAATCCCGGCTGGTGTGTGGAACGACCCGGGAGCTTTCCAGCACCCCTGCCCAGCCCGCAGGCTCAGAGATTCTCATGCAAGTGCTGCAGGAGTGACTGGGGCTCCCAGAGCCCGGAGGCTTGCAGGGTGATTCCGACGAGCCCCCCGGGACTTACAACTGCTACCTCAGGGCTCCAGGAGATACTCAGACCCCACACCAGACCTCTCTCAAGCTGATCGTGCAGAAGAACCCATTGCAAGTCCTTCTAAAACGCAGACTGCTGGCTCCCAACCCACAGTGACTCCCTAGGCGTGGGGTGGGCTCGAGAACATGCATTTCTATCAAGCTGATTCCAGGACCCCACACGAGGGACCGCTGCCCTACATAAACGTCCGCTTTCCGCAGCCTGACATTCACAGGTGGAGCCTTGGGCCCGCAGCATCCTGCGCCCAGGGCTGGAGCCTCTCCGACGCGCCTTTCACGAGCGGTCCTGGAGCGCCCCCTGGTGGGAACCGCGGGGCCTCAGTTGGTGCGGGCTTTCTCCCCTCTTCGGAGTGGTGGGGTGGGGAGCCAGCGGCGTCAGCTGGCCCTGGAGCCTTCGATCTTCTAGAAGTTTTGGGACCCAACCCCATTCGCAGGAGTCCCGGGACTCGAGCGGGCCAAGGGGACGGGATGGGACAGGTTGGGCCTGGGATTGCGGGGCGAGCTTGGGTAGGGGATGGGGTTGGGGGGCACCGCGGCCACAGGCTCTGGGACGGTTAAGCGCTTATGCGAGGGAGCCCCGCAGGACAAAGTCAAGTTCGAGGTCCCTTCCCCGCCTCCCTGAGCCTCACTTTCCTCTTCTGGGAAATGGGAGTGAAAACCTGCCTTCCTCCTATTCCCCCAACCCTATTCGATGCACAGAATCAAATAAAGACACTCACAACCCAAACGCAATCTCGTCACCCAAAGACCCCACAGGGACGCAAAGAGCATGGGAGGTGGCACTGGAGGGGTCCCTGATCACTCATGAATGTCTCCTAGGATCACGGGCCTGAGCCATTCCGTGGCCACAGTGCGGGCATCCGGCTGCCCCGGCCCTCCCCTCTTGGGGTCTCCGCTCAAAGGTCACTTAGTGAGGGCGTCGGCGAGCCCCCTCCCGAAATGGGCGAGGCTGGCAAACCTGTCGCGCGGACGGCTCGCTCCGCAGCCTCCCCGGGTCGTGCCACCGCGCGCCCTGCCCCAGGATCGTCTCCTCAGTGCCTCCGCGAGGCACGCGAGGGTCCGCGTGAGTGGGTGTCCCTTGGGCCGCCACGCCAGCGCCGAGAACCGGGACTCGCTCCGTGTCCCCGCGGCCCGCCCAGTCCGTCCGGCCTCTGCCTGGGCACTGCCTCCTGCCGCCGCCTGGGCCGCGGGCGCTCGGCTCGGTGTCCTCGGGGCTGCGGCGCCCACGGGGCTCCGGAGGACCAGCCTGCGGCCCGGGGGCCTGCGCGGGGCTCGGCGGGGCCTTCCCCCCTCCCGGCAGGCGTAGCCTTCCAGCACCTTCCGCGCCAGCAGCATCTGGGCCGCGGTTCTCCCGACGCGCGTAGTTCATTCGGTCGGTCGGTCGGTCGTGGGGCAGCTAGAGTCTGGGCCGCCACCGTGCGCGGACACCGTGCTGGCGCGGGGGACGCGGCGGGGGACAGGGCGGCCCCAGCCCGGGTCCCGGGGCCGGCCCTGCCCCGCCGCGCGGCGCCCGAGAGCTTCCACGGCTCCTCGCCCCACGGTCGCCCACCCCCGGCTCCGGACCCGACCCTCGGACCCTCGCTGCGCTGCCGCGGTTCGGTGGGACAGCGGGAGGCGGGGGACGCTCTCCCGAAGCTGCTCGGCCTGTGGTGTCGGCGGCGGGGACGTGGGCGGGGGGCGCCCAGGTCCCTGCTCGGGGACTGCCGCTGCTTGGTGGAATCTCAGGGGCGCAGCGGCCCGGGCTCTGGGCGACAGCACTTCCCGGGGCGGGAGCAGCTTGCGCACTCCTCATCCTGGGGCAACCTGACCCTCTCTTCTGCCCTTCGACCCGCAATACCCGTGTCATCAGCGGGTCATCTGCAAACAAGTTAGTGTGGCAGGTGACAATCCATCAGAGCTTGAAAAAGTAGGGGTGTGAGGGAAGGGTCACATTTAAATAGGGTGGTCAGGGAAGCCCTCCCCGGGGAGTGGGACAGTTGAACAAAGACTGGGATGAAGTGAAGGGCAGAGCTATGCAGATATCCTGGGAAAGCACTCCAAGCCAGGGGGGACAGCAAGTGCAAAGGCCCTGAGGCAGGAATGGGCTCCAAGTGTTCCCTGAAGGCAAGGAGATCTGGGCATCTGAGGGCATGGGAGAGTGTTGGGCGGTGAGGCAGAGAAAANGGGCATCTGAGGGCATGGGAGAGTGTTGGGCGGTGAGGCAGAGAAAACAGCGACAGAGGAACCACAGCAGTTCTGTCTAAGAGAACTTTCTGTGAAGGTGGACATGTCCTATACTTGCACTGGAATGGTAGCCAGCCAGCCTATGTGGCTCCGGAACACTTGTAAGGCGGTGGGTATGGCTAAGCAAGTGGATATTCCATCTTATTTAATTTTATTTAAATGTATTGTCCCTTGTGACCAGAGATTACCCTATTGGACAGAACAGGTCTAGACCGCTATAAGAACTTCAGTTTAACCTGTGGGGGACAGGGGTGCCTGGGTGGCTCAGTGGGTTAAGCCTCTGCCTTCGGCTCAGGTCGTGATCTCAGGGTCCTGGGATGGAGCCCCACATCGGGCTCTGCTTGGCAGGGAGCCTGCTTCCCCTTCTCTCTCTGCCTCTGCCTGCCTCTCTTCCTACTTGTGATCTCTCTCTCTCTGTCAAATAAATAATAATAAAATCTTTAAAAAAATAATAACCTGCGGGGACAAAGGAAGCCTGTGAAAGGTTTAGGGAGAGTGAGGTAATCAAAGAGTGGACCACAGGGCGGG